ACATAACTTTGAAACAACAAGAGGTATCAACATGAAACTTTGTAGGTAGATAGATCTCATTGAGTAGGTGTGCAGTGCACAAGAACCGTAACTCTGCCTTGCCTAATTTTTGAATTATTGCCCTTTGTTTATTTTTACACTTTGAACTTTGTCAGGGACATAACTCTAAAACTATAAGAGGTATCAACATGAAACTTTGTAGGTAGATAGATCTCATTGAGTAGATGTGCAGTGCACAAGAACCGTAACTCTGCCTTGCCTAATTTTTGAATTATTGCCCTTTGTTTATTTTTACACTTTGAACTTTGTCCGGGACATAGCTCTAAAACTATAAGAGATATCAACATGAAACTTTGTAGGTAGATAGATCTCATTGAGTAGGTGTGCAGTGCACAAGAACTGTAACTCTGCCTTTATATATTGACAGATTTATTTCATATAAAGTAGGAAAATAAGTTGCGTGATATTCTTCTTCCTTTGGATGGAGTTAGGGGTCAGTTGGGTCAAGGTCACCAGTGCTAAAAATAGATTTTTTACACTTTTGCCCATACAGCCTTTATTTTAAATATTGTTACTGACTAGAATCTGAGCCGGGGGCATTTGTGTTTAACAAACACGTTCTTGTTTCCCTTCTATAACAGGGGCCGATATAAGGCCCCTTCACAATTCAAAATTGCACTTTTAATATCTCGCTTTTTTTTCACAAAATGAACAGGCCCAGGCCCCTTCACAATTTTGACAAAAAATGCCCTGAGGGGTATCATTAAGATTTACCCTTGTCTGTCAGTCCATCAGTACAAACATATAGATACCTAGGTGGCTATAGGAACAATAGGTAACAGTAAAATTTTTTTAATACTATTCATTCAGTAAGCTCTTATGTGGCTACTTTTTCTCTTACATGGGTTAGAGAACAATAGAGGGAACAATAGAGTAGCCACCTAAGTACCAAACTTAGATCATGTCTGTCCTTCCGTCTGTCAGTTCTCATTTTGTGTTGCACATAGCTAGAGTCATGAAATTTTACAGAAATGTTGCTCAGCATGTGAAGTTGTGCACCTGGGGTTTCGCTTGTGGATTTTTAGCTCACCTTTCATAAAGTGACATGGTGAGCCTTTGTGATCGCTTTTCATCCGGCGTCTGTCTGGCTTCTGTCAGTCCGTAAACTTTTACTTTAAACAACATCTCCTCATAAACGGCTAAGCCAATTACATCCAAACTTCACAGGATAGTTCCTTTGGTAGTGAACTTAAAAATTGTTCAAAGAATTTAATTCCATGCAGAACTCTGGTTGCCATGGCAACAGAGAGAAAAAACTTAAAAATTCTGTAAAAAACTGAAAGAGCTAGAGCTTAAATATTTGGTAGTCAGAGTCTACCAAAAAAATAGAGAAAAACAGAATCCCTAAAGACCAAGTTTGTTCAAATAAAAGTCCTGAAGTCAAAATTGGCCTGCCCGGGGGGGGGGGGGGGGGGGTTCATTGATTTTAGTAGCTTTTAAAAAATTCAAATACCTATATCTTAGATTTTTGGCATTAAACATCTTCTGGTTGGTGTCTACCAAGTTTGTTCAAATAAAAGCCCTAGGGTCAAAATTGGCCCCACCCCAGGAGGTCATTGTTTACCCTATATGTATATAATGGAAACTTAAAAAACCTTCTTTTAAAAAGCCCAAATAGCTAGAGCTTAGATATTAAGCATGAAACATCTTCTAGTGGATGTCTACCAAGTTTGTTGAAATAAAAGCCCTAGGGTCAAAATTGGCCCCCCAGGGGGGGGTCATTGTTTTTTCCCTTTATGTATATAGTAAAAACTTAAAAAATCTTCTTTTAAAAACCCAAAAGAGCTAGAGCTAAGATATTTAGCATGAAACATCTTCTTATGAGTGTCTACCAAGTTTGTACAAATAAGTACCCTGGGGTGAAAATTGGCCCCACCCCTGGGGTCATTGATTTTCCTTATGTGTATAGTAAAAACTGAAAATATCTTCTTTTAAAAACCAAAACTGCAAGAGTTTAGATACCAAGCATGAAATATCTTCTAGTGAGTGTGTACCAAGTTTGTTAAAATTAAATCCCTGGGGTCAAAATTGGCCTTGCCCGGGAGGAGGGGATCATTGTATACGAAGTATATGGAGAGCTGTCCTTGTAACCTGCCCCGGCGTCCGCGTCCATATATCAGATTAAAGTTTTGGTGCAGTAAAATATTTTTCACTATAACTTTGTCATTTCTTAAGGTATCAACTTAAAACTTCAAATATATGTTCCTTATCATCAACCACATCTTATGTGACAAGGTTCATAACTCTAGCACCAATATTTTTAGATTTATCTCCCCTTGAACTTAGAATTTTCCTTAAAAAATACTATTTTTTACTGTTACTTCTGTATTTCTTAAGGGATCAACCTCATACTTCAAATATATGTACCTTATCATCATCCCCATCTTATGTGACAAGGTTCATAACTCTAGCACTAATATTTTCAGATTTATCTCCCCTTGAACTTAGAATTTTCCTAAAAAAATATTTTTTACTGTTACTTCTTTATTTCTTAAGGGATCAACCTCATACTTCAAATATATGTACCTTATCATCATCCCCATCTTATGTGATAAGGTTCATAACTGTAGCACCAATATTTTTAAATTTATCACCCCTTGAACATAGAATTTTCCTTAAAAAATATTATTTTTTACTCTTACTTATTTATTTCTAAAGGGATTAACTTCATACTTCAAATATATGTACCTTATCATCATCCACATCTTATGTGACAAGGTTCATAACTCACCAATATTGCAAGAATTATCTCCCCATAAAATTTTTTTTACTAGAAAAATGTCATTTTTTACTATAACATTTTTAGTTTTAAAGGTATCTACCTCAAACTTCAAATACTTATTCCTTATCATCAATTACATTTTATGTGACAATGTTCATAACACTTCAAGCAATTTTTACAGATTTATCTCTCTTTGAACTTTGATTTTCTTTAAGAAATATTATAACTTCTTTACTTTTTAAGGTATCTACTTCAAACTTCAAATAAATATTTCTTATCATTACACACATGTTGTGTGACAAGGTTCATAACTCTAGTGTGACTATTTCTAGAATTATTCCCCTTGATCTTGGAATTTATGTTAGCAAATGTTATTTTTTACTATAACTTAATACATAATTATACATAATTGATTTTTCTTTCATAGTTTTGTCCTCCTTACTGCGTCCAGGATTTTATTAGTCGAGCTTCGCTGTCTCCTGTGACAGCTCTTGTTCCCTATACAGTCAAACTTGTATTAAGTGACCGCGCAAGGGAAACACCTAAAACGGTCGCTTTATGAAATGGTCTCTTAAGACAAAGCATGATAAAAAGTCAAAATTTATACATGACATCTTTCTTTTGCGGTGGGAATGTTTTTCAACTTCATTTATATAAACACGAAAACTCTAATTTGTGAAGCTTTTTTCTGTTGTGCATTTTTCATTTGAAATAAACTACATCTGATTGTAATGATTAATTTAATTGCAGATCAAGGTCAATTCAATGCAGTCTAAATATCAACAGCGAAGCGTATACACCATCTCAGTAGGGGCGGAGCGTTGCATTGTTTTATCGATATTATTGGATAATACACGTAGCGCGTTCACTTACCTTCATTTGCATACGCTTAAACGGTTTGGCCAATATAGAGTTTTTCACACATTTATATATTGTGTTTTGATTGTTGACACTTGTGACATTACGAGGCGGTATTTTCTAAAAACACAATTACTTGACAGGTTAAAGTGGCCGTTTAATGTAATGATTTATCTTAATTAGCTAACTAATGAGCGGTTGTTGGTCGTGTTGAGCAAAAGGCCCTTAATACATTAACCCTTTACCTCATATATACGCGAAACAACACACTTTCGACACCCCCCCCCCCCCCCCCCTCTTTTAGGCCTCAAATAGTGAAAAAGTGTGTCAAACACATATTTTCGTTTGAGAAATGTTGCTAAAAAAAGTGAGCACTTTTTCAGCGCCGCCCCCATCCAAAAGATACATCAGGGGGTTGCCAGAAGGGGGATGTGGGAAATTTTTCCATGGTGTCAAAATTGGCCCTGCTCGGGGGGAGTGATTCTCATTATGTACACATAGTAAAAACAGAAAATAAAACAAATGTTTTCTGAATGGGAGAAAGCTACAGCTTAGATATTTGACATGAAATGTTGTTTGATGGACCTGTATCAAGATTGTTTTGAATTAAACCCTTTGGTCAAAATTTTGCCTTGCCCAAGGGGACAGTGACCTACTTTCTTGTCCTTTGATGTACAGCAATGAAATTTTGACCATGTGCACAGTTTTATTTGTAAAATTGAACTTTGATATCAAGTGACCTAGATTTTGATGATGTGACCTACTTTCTTGTCCTTTGATGTACAGCTATGAATTTTGAACCATGTGCACAGATTAAGATGTAAAGTGAACTTTGATATCAGCTGACCTAGATTTTGACAAAGTGTCTTTCTGTGTTGTCCTTTGATGTAGTCATGAAATTTAGGCTGTGTGAAATATGACCTTCACCACCAAATTCACTAGACTCAAGTGCATTGATATATTTCTACTCTGATCTTTTATTGGATTAACAATAGATTTAACCACTAATCTGATGATAAGAATTAGACAGGTCAGGTATCTATGCATTATGACAATCTTCAATTGTATAGAAACAAAAAAAATCTGTTCCTACACTACTATTTAGTGTAGTATTAATGTGATGGCATAGCAGTTTTCTTGTATTGAAAAAATATCTGAAAAATCTTTTCAATGTGACAAATCCATTGTGACCTCATTTATTGCTTCAACATTTCTAACATGAATCTCAGGTGAGTGATTGAGGGCCATCATGGCTCTCTTGTTTTAAGTTTTCTCCTGTTTGGTAGGAGAGTTTGCAGTCTGTGACTGCTTCTTGTTAAGCTTTTTTTGATGTCTAATGAAAAACTTTATTGTCTTTCAGGGAATGCCAGAGTCCTGGGCCCGACTATTATCACAGTCAAATATCTCAATATCAGAACAGAAGAAAAATCCACAGACTGTTTTAGATGTCCTCAACTTTTATGAATCTTCAACAAAAGAGAAAGAGGAATCAAAACAAAAGTTTTTGACTAATATAAAACCACCCAGTAAGTTGGCTAATATATTTATAAAATAATTATATAAAAGGGAGAGCTTTCCTAATCGCCTGTGTTGAGGGGCCTCTGTGGCCGAGTGGTTAAAGTCGCTGACTTGAAATCACAGGTCCCTCACCACTGTAGGTTTGATCCTCACTCGGGTCGAAATCTTTCATGTGAGGAAGCCATCCAGCTGGAAAGGAAGGTCAGTGGTTCTACCCAGGTGACCGCTCGTGCCTGAAATAATGCGGGAAAGGGCACCTGGGGTTTTCCTCCACCAATAAAGCTGGAAAAAAATCGATGAAAAATCTTGGCAGGACGCTCCTGGATGGCACGACTTGAGTGTACAGTCGCCCATATAGGCTTTCCGGCAGCGACCTTAAATGAACACATCAAAGAAAAAAAAAAAAAAAAAAATCGCCTGTGCATCTTTGTCACACTTTTGGTTAAGTTTTTGGTTACAATAAGTTTGATTACACCATCCACAGTTATAAGTGATCATCATCTCTACTTTTTAAGCAAAAAGACAACATTTTATGAAGGAATCTTTTTCCGCAATTCCGAAAGGGGATTATAGGAATGGCCTCCGTCTGTATAACCATCCGTCCGTTTGACTGTAACACTTTAGTGAGGTAAGGTGAGTGGACATCATATTTACATACTAAATTTTATATTTGATCGTGTAGAACAAACTTAAGTAAGTTTATTTTTCATAACTTAAGCACTGAATTATCTGTAATTGACTTAGTATTACCCTTACAAAGTCTGGTATCATACAGATGTAAGAGTTCCTTACCATTATGCAGGTGCAATTTCAAAACGGAAGTGACATACAAATATCACTATGTAAATTTTTGATAGTTCATGATAACGATATTTAGCTGTGTTTCTCATAATATGATTTGAATTTGAAGGCGATCCATTTGTAGTGCACAACAGCCACCAACAAAATCACCTTTTACCACCAAAAATGACGATGAACTCAACGATACTAACCCTTGTGTTCAACTTATGAAATGTGTTAATTCATACCTGCCATGACATCCGGGACTGTCCCGGAAATAAGGTGTCTATCCCGGAGGCCTATATAATATTAGATTGAAATGCAAACATAAATATGTGATTTCTTATAATTTAGATTATCATTAAAAATTTACATAGTTTATAAAATCCTGGTGAGCCTTTCATTGAAAAAGTTTATAAAATCCTGGTGAGTCTTTCATTGAAAAAAGTTGTTCTAATTTATACATATTAGGATGTCTATAAAAATAGGGTTTTATATGTTGTCCTCCTTCATTATATAATTTTATTAGTCCCCTACCGGTTTAACCGGAGGGGACTTTAGGTTATCCGTCCGTATGTCCGTCCGTCCGTCCGTCTGTCTGTCAGTCCGTCCGTCCACAAAACTGGATCCCGCGATAATGCAAAAAGTACTGAAAATATTTTTATGAAACTTGAAATATGGGTAGATGGCAGTCTGGAGATTATGCACATTTTTTTCTTTTCTTCCTATGTTGAAAATTCTGGTTGCTATGGCAACAAATAGCCTGAATTTCAAGATTTCTGATTTAAATTTTTCAGCTTTTTCACTATAAGTTCTTTATTTTTTAAGGTGTTTACATCAAACTTTAAATATAAGTTTCTGGTCATCAACCACATCATATGTGACAAGGTTTACAACTCTAGCACAAAGATTATCAGTATTACCTCCCTTGAACTTAGAATTTTTATGAAAAAAAAAAGTTGTCTTTTTTAAATAACTTCTTTATTTCCTAATGTATCTACTTCAAACTTCATATATATGTTTCTTATTATCACTCAACATTTTTGAGAAGGTTAAATACTCTAGCAAGACTATTTCCAGAATTATGTCCCCCTTGAACTTAGATTTTTTTCGAGAAATTGGTATTTTTCACTCCAACTTCTTCATTCCTTATAGGATTTACTTTAAAATCCCACATCATAATAATATGACAAGGTTGTATAAACATAATTTCCTTACTAGGAAGGGAAACTTAACACATAACTGTGATACAGACAAACTTAGAACTCAAAAGATTTAAGTTCATTCATGTCATTCATTCACTGGTAAAATTGAATGGCCAATGGCCCATCAGAATGTTGCTGGGGTTCTAACCCCGGTAGGGGACTTATGGATTGCTTGCAATACTATGATAATTGCTTGTTACATGATGAAACTAATGAAACTGAGATCACTGATTATATTTCTACAAAAAATATACATTCTTTCATTAAGAGGTAAATTTGTCCAGTTTCCAGTTGAAACTCATGTAATCTATGGTTTCTTGTCCTGAATTTGATAAAATTAAAAATAATTGCATTTTGGGAGTATGATAAAACAGGTTCAATTCCAAAAGACTTTTTAAAAAATATCGTTAAAGGAATTAACGATTTATTTATCTTTGAATACCATTCATTTAAGATCTTTTAGCTTTTGTCTTACTGTTTATTTCAACCATTTTGTAACTCCTCACCAATGTTATTTCTACACATTCCAAACATGATTGTAACAGCATTTTATTTGTATTGATTTTAAATTATAAATCCATGGATAATTACGTTCAAAATGTTTGCCATTAATATTTACTATATTTCTTAGCATATAATTATATACAATTTATTTGGTATTAAACTATTTTCGTTCTGAAGGAGACATGCTCAAAATAAAACTATTCTTCCCCTGATGTCTGCTGACAATGGCATGCATCCCCTTTCGAAGGGGCACCTGAGGTCTTCCACCAGTAAAGCTGGAAAGTCTCTATATGACCTTTACAGTGTTGGTGTGAGGTAAAACTCAGCAAAAAAGAAAAACAACGCAGTACTGCAATACTGGGTTGTTATGGTCATCATATTTGTTTATTAGCAATAAAAATTGTATTGCTATCATAATTGATTCATTCAAATTTTTTTTTTCAGGTGCCAATTCCCTGAGACCAACATTGTCTGATAACATCACACCAAATAACACACCCACAATATCTCCAGTAAGTGCAAACATTAATAGTGATTTAATGAGTCCCCTGCCAGTTTAACCAGAGGGTACTTTAGGTTTACCCTCCTGCCATCCGTCTGTAAGACTGTCCGCAAATACTTGATCCCGTGGTTATGCAAAAAGAACTGAAAATATTGTTATGAAACTTAAAATATGGGTAGATTGCAGTTGGGAGATTATGCACATCTTTTTATGCCCCCGGGCAGATAGTAATTGAGCCGTCTCCATCTGTCCTTGTGGAGATAATCTAAGACGCCATGTTGGATGTTCTCGATGAACCAATGGCTTTTATAAAGCGATTCGCCTGTGTGTATTTGTGTGTTCTATAGATTATATAGTGAACTTCTCCTAAAAAAAAGAAACGTCCAAATTCAACAAAACTTGGCAGGATTGTTCGTTGGGTGAAGGGCTTCCAAAGTTGTTCAAAGAATTCGATTCCATGCAGAAATGCCATGGCAGTGAAAAGAAATTATTAGAAAAAACTAAAAAAATCTTCTACTAAAGACCCACAAGGCCTATAGCTTAGATATTTTGCATGAGGCATTGTCTATTGGACCAGTACCATGATCGTTCAAACTTCATTTGTTTATACAAATTTATTTTAGTTTGATTGCGTTGGAAGCTATAAGCTTATTTAAACACTCTCAAATCCGTTCCTGGAACCAACCAGTACTAAGCAATGAATGTAAAGTTTCTTGCTCAAGGAAACAAAGGCTTGCCCCTAACAGGGTTTGAACCCACGCGGTCAGCAATCCTTGGATTACTAGTCCGACGAGTAAACCACTCGGCCACACCGCCAAATATTTTATTGCAGGGGCTATGTAATTAATCTGTGTTGGGAGTCATAAACCAAAACAAACATGTACCCCAAAGCACATTAAAACTATCAAGTGGAAAACAAGTGACCATGTTAAGGTGACAACGGAGTAAATTATCAAATACCTAAAATGAGATGTTTTGCTTAGTAGATTTATCAACCTTGTCTGAACACATTTGTGATTTAATTTTGGAAGCAGTTAGTCCAAAAAAAAGTGTTTTTAAACGTTTTAAACGCTCCGCCCTCTGTTGAGGCATCAATAAGGGAAATCAGTAGTTCCATATATCTGTGAATTACCGGTCCATACTGGTCTATACTACTCGTAATACATGTGTCGTACAAATACTGTACATCTTTTATGAATATCTCAACATTATATCGTCTACCTTTTATTTAGCCTTTTTTTATAAATTAAGAAATTGTCGGCCAATGTACGTAACATAATGTATGTAAATAACTTACAAGTGACATGTATGACAGATACCAGATTCACGTTAAGATTTGAATAAATTTCTGCTATAAACTGATATTAATCAGCAGCTTTTTAATTGGTCAGATGTCACTGGGTCATAAAATGTTGTTAGAGTATGTTACTGCACTCTGTGACCTTCTCTGGTGCGATATTTGTGATGCAATTATTTAGCGTGAAACGTAGTGGTCCGAGAGAGAACAGCCGATTTATGACACTTCATTTGATGTTGGTCAGACTAACTTTGAATCGGCATAACTTTTTTAATTATCAAGCAATTGACATGCGGTTTACAGCACATAAAACGGAATTCATTTGCGGAGGGAACTGTGTCAGGGATTTTTGTTTGCTCAATCAGCAACTTAATTATCTTTAATTATGTAATATGTATGGTAAAAAAAGTCGCATAAAATGTTTTACGTTACGTAGTATTTTTTTGAGAAAAGATAGAAAAAATTTGAGACACGGTTCCCCAGATATTATAAGTACAACGTATGTTTATATTCCAAAAGTTTGATGACTTTGAATTAAGACGATTTAAAATTTTAGGATTTTAAAATATTCAAAATCAATCATTTACAAAGGCATTTTTTTCAAATATGTTATTTTTTATGATGATCAATGACATTTAATGCACACATATTAAATAAATAACACTTATTACTAAAATAAGTTGGTTTAAAGCTACATGCCTTTGGATGACTCAAAAATATTTCAATAAATCAAACTTAAGAAAAAATGTACAAAGATTTTAGGAAAAGTAAAAGATTCAAGATTCTAGTAATAATATGTATGTTTTGTGTGCTTAATGACTGATTTTTCAGTATTTATAACTTTATCTCTACTGCGTTACTAACGTAGTAAGAGCTATTTTTGCATAATTATACCCCCACCACAAAATGTGGGGGGGGGCTATAATGGATTCGCTTTGTCGCGTCGGTCCGTCCGTCGGTCGGTCTGTCGGTCCGTCTCCATTTTCGTGTCCGCTCTATAACTCCCATACCAATTGAAGGATTTTCTTCAAACTTGGCTCAAATGTTCACCTCAACAAGGGGATGTGCAGAACCCATGTTGCCCATGTGTCAGCTCAAGGTCAAGGTCACAATTGAAGGTCAAATATCAAACAATCAAATATTACACAGTATGTCGTGTCCGCTCTGTAAGTCCTACACTAATTGAAAGATTTTCTTCAAACTTGGCTCAAATGTTCACCTCAACAAGAGGATGTGCAGAACCCATGTAGCCCATGTGTCAGCTGAAGGTCAAGGTCACAATTGAAGGTCAAATATCAAACAATCAAATATTACACAGTATGTCCTGTCCGCTCTGTAAGTCATACACTAATTGAAAGATTTTCTTTAAACTTGGCTCAAATGTTCACCTCAACAAGGGGATGTGCAGAACCCATGTTGCCCATGTGTCAGCTGAAGGTCAAGGTCACAATTAAAGGTCAAATATCAAACAATCAAATATTACACAGTATGTCGTGTCCGCTCTGTAAGTCCTACACTAATTGAAGGATTTTCTTCAAACATGGCTCAAATGTTCACCTCAACAAGGAGATGTGCAGAACCCATGTAGCCCATGTGTCAGCTCAAGGTCAGGGTCACAATTGAAGGTCAAATATCAAACAATCAAATATTACACTATATGTCGTGTCCGCTCTGTAAGTCCTACACTAATTGAAGGATTTTCTTCAAACTTGGCTCAAATGTTCACCTCAACAAGGGGATGTGCAGAACCGATGTTACCCATGTGTCAGCTCAAGGTCAAGGTCACAATTGAAGGTCAAATATCAAACAATCAAATATTACACTGTATGTCGTGTCCGCTCTGTAAGTCCTACACTAATTGAAAGATTTTCTTCAATCTTGGCTCAAATGTTCACCTCAACAAGGGATGTGCAGAACCCATGTCACCCTTTTGCCGGCTTAAGGTCAAGGTCACACTTGAAGGTCAAAAATTGACTTAGAAAATATTCTTAAATTTTAACATTTATTTGAATATTTCTGAATCTAGAAAAGGTATTTGCTTGAAACTTAAAACGTATTTGAAGTGTCACAATTAAGATATGCTGGTCAAGTTTCATAATTCTGTATTGCATTTTAACAAAGTTATGCCCCTTTTAAGTCTTCAAATTTACATACAATCAAATATATAACAATATGTCGTGTCGGCTCTATAAATCCGATACTAATGGAAGAATTTTCTTCAAACTTTACTCAAATGTTCACCTCAACAAGGTTATGTGCAGAATCTATGTCACCTTTGTGCCTTCTAAAGGTCAAGGTCACACTTGAAGGTCAATAATTGACTTAGAAAATGTTCTTAAATTTTAACATGTACTTGAATAATTCTGAAACTAGCACAGGTATTTGCTTGAAACTTTAAGATATATGAGATGTCGCAAATAAGATATGCAGGTCAAGTTTCATTACTCTGTTTTGCATTTTGACAAAGTTATGCCCCTTTTTAAGTCTTCAAATTTACATACAATCAATACTAGACAGTATTTTGTGTCGGCTCTATAAATTCTATACTAATGGAAGGATTTTCTTCAAACTTTACTCAAATGTTCACCCCAACTGGGCGATGTGCAAAACCCATGTTACCCGTGTGCCAGATTAAGGTCAAGGCCACACTTGAAGGTCAAAAATTGACTTAAAAATAAAATGTTTAGTACATAGGGAAAATGAAAGGTTTTTTGTAACTGTTTCGAACATGATTTGATAATATATTTATACTATTACCTGTACTGTTAGTCTTTTTTTCACCAGAGATAATTTCTTTTTATGTATTTATGCCACACAAGTTATTGCCTTAACCACCTTTCCAAGTCCTCTTCTGTCAAGGACATTGGTGGGGGTATGAATCGCATTCAGCGATAGTTCTAGTTCGACCTTTTTTGGTAATATACGAGGGTTGCAAGTGCTACTGATAAAGTGCAAATTGATTCCTTTTGTGAAGTTAACAATATTGTACTTTTAAATACATTTTTAAATTTTTCATGAAAATTAAAATGAATCTGGAGGCGTGCTGCTTTAAATGACATTTATGTGAGTACCACGGAAGTGTCTGTTGTCGTCTTAATGCTTAATTAATGTTCGTTATTTTTAGTCCCCTACCGGTTTAAAATAAATTTAAAAAATATTCTTGAAATGACACACAAGGCCTAGAGCATAGATATTTTGCATAAGGCATTGTCTGTTAGACCTCTACCAAGATTGTTCAAATTATAGCCCTGGGGTCAAAATTGGCCCCGCCCAGGGTGTCATTGATTTTCACTATATGTACATATAGTAAAAACTTAAAATACCTTCTTGTCTGAAGGTACAAGGCTTTAAGCTTTGATATTTGGTAATTGATATCATCTAGAGGTATTCTACCAAAGTTGTTCAAATTTTGCCTCTAGTGTTATAATTTAAGCCCGCCCTGGGGGTCATAGGTTTTCCTTATATGTATATAGTAAAAACTTAAAAAATCATCTTCTCGAAATTGACAAAAGCTAGAGGTAAGATATTTTGCATGAAACATTGTGTAGTGAACCTTTACCAAGATTGTTTAAATTATAGCCCTGGGGTCAAAATTGACCCTGCCCCAGGGGTCATTGATTTTCACTATGTACATAATAGTAAAAAATTAAAAAAATCTCATTGTCTGAAGGTACAAGGCTTAGAGCTTTGATATTTGGTATATGATATCATCTATTGGTACTCTACCAAAGTTGTTCAAATTTTGCCTCTAGTGTCAAAATTAACCCGGCCCCAGATGTCATAGGTTTTCCTTATACATGTATGTATATAGTAAAAACTTTGAAAAATCATTTCCTGTAAATTGACAAAGGCTAGAGGTTAGATATTTTGCATGAAACATTGTGTAGTGAACCTTTACCAAGATTGTTTAAATTATAGCCCTGGGGTCAAAATTGTTCGAACATGGCTCATCTTGGATGAAAAACTAGGTCACATGAGCTAAAAATAGAAAAACCTTGTTAACCCTCTAGCGTTCACTTTTTTGCCTTAATCAACATCAAACTTTGTCATGATGCTTGTCTAGGTAATATTTTGGATGAGTTCGAACATGGGTCATCTCGGATAAAAAACTAGGTCACAGGAGAAAAAAATAGAAAAATCTTGTTAACACTCTAGCAGTCCCATTTTTGACACAATTGTCATCAAACTAGGTCAGGATGCTTGACTAGGTAATTGCTCGGATGTGTTTTGAAAATGGGACATCTCGGATGAAAAACTAGGTCACAGGAGCTAAAAATAGAAAAAAACTTGTGTGGCTACTGTTTTGATAAATTGGTCTGAAAGTTTGTTTTGATGATTTCTAGGTCAATTTTGAATATGGGTCACCTGGGGTCAAAAACTAGGTCACACTGCTCAAATATGGATACTCCATGTTAACACTCTAGTGGTCACATTTTTGACTCACCTGTCATGAAACTTCGTCAGAATGCTTGTCTAGGTAATTGTTCGGGTGAGTTTGATGGGTCAGGTGAGCGATCCTGAGGGCCATCTTGGCCCTCTTGTTTACCCCTTAGGGTCAAGGGCACTTAAACTAAAAATTTTAAAAGTAATTTCCAGACAAGCAAGAGTTTGAAATGAGATTGCTTTTGGGCCCCCCTAGGGTCAAGGTCAGGGTCACTGTTTCTAACAATTAAAAATGGTTTCCAGAAGATAACTAGGGTTAGGACAAAGCAAGCTTTTGTTTAAAAGTTGAGACCTCACTTGGTATTGCTTCTTGACCACTAGGGGCAATGGCACTCTAACTAAAAATAAAAAAAAGGTAGTTTCAGGTCAATAACTAGAATTTGAAACCAGTTATGAATTTTGTATATTATAATAGCAAGCTCATGTAAAGGTCTCACTTCAGATTTCTTATGCATGCCCTATCGTCAACCTGGTCACATTTCTAAAAATAGGAAAATAGGATGATAATTACAATTAAGAAAGTGATCCTATAATCAAACTTAGTATCAAAGGGACTCCAGTGATGGGAAGGGAAATAATTTGTGTGATTGACTGATAACTTATGTAAGGACTGAGATAGTACACACTTCAGATTTAGTACCACACTTCGGATTTTGATTCCCCAAATTGTTTCTATTACAGAACTTGTAGTTATCTTTAAAGCATGTTTCCATCAGTATACTCTACATTTATGTATCTTAAAAAAATATGATTGTGATGTTTCTTCTTGAAAACTTGTGATATTTCAGTCTCCTCCTAAAGTAGATAACTCTGGTCCTGGTACCCCAGAGGATGAAGAAGATGAAGTTCCGCCACCACCAATAGCAGCAAGACCAGATAAAACAAAATCTATTGTAAGTTTATTTTTTTAATGGCTAACAATAAATGGCTTGACCAAGTAGTGTTATAGTGTTATTTAAAATTGTTACATATTTGATGAATTTGTCTGGCAAAATGTATACCAGCAGCAGTTTAAAATGTGCATTGTCAACTTTTGTTTCAAACAACATCTCCTCCTAAACTTTTGTATAGATTTTGCTAAAACTAAGCAGGATTGTTCTTGGAATGAAGCTTTTTAGCTCGACTTTTTTTGAAAAAAAAAGGAGATGTATTGTTATAGTCCTAATGGCGTTGCCTTTGCCGTCCGCAAACTTGTAGCTGGATCATAACTTTTTTTAGTTCTTGGTGTATTGTCTCCATACTTGGCCACAACAACCCTTGGGACAAGTCCTATCAGTAGATCACACTAACCTTGACCTTCATCCATAAATGACCTTGACCTAAAAGGTCAAAAAGTCCAAATTTTCCTTGTTCTTGCTATTATTGGCTGTAACTTTGTTATTTTTAAATGGATTGTCTTCTAACTTGAACATAATAATCTTCAATGATAGCCCTTTAAAATAACCAGACAGACCTTGAACTTCACTCATAAATGACGTTGACTTTGAATGTCAAATTATTGAAATTTTCATTTTTTTTTGGCTATTATTGGCTGTAACTTTGTTATTGTGCCCCCACGTTAGTGGCGGGCATTTAGATTTACCCTTTCCGTCCTTCCGTCCGTCCGTCTGTCCGTCCTTCCGTCCGTCCTTCCGTCCGTCCGTCCGTTCACTTTTGTGTCGCACGTAACTCAAAAAGTATTTGACCTAGAGTCATGAAACTTTACAGGAATGTTGATCAGCATGTGTAGTTGTGCACCTGGGTATTTTGGTCTGGATATTTTTAGTATTTTCAGAGTTATTGCCCTTGACTTAGTAAAATTTGGCAATTTTCAACTTGTGTCGCATGTAACTCCAAAAGTATTTGACCTAGAGTCATGAAACTTTACAGGAATGTTGATCAGCATGTGTAGTTGTGCACCTGGGTATTTTCGTGTGGATATTTTTAGTATTTTCAGAGTTATTGCCCTTGATTTAGTAAAATTTGGCAATTTTCAACTTGTGTCGCATGTAACTCCAAAAGTATTTGACCTACAGTCATGAAACTTTACTGGAATGTTGATCAGCATGTGTAGTTAGGCACCTGGGTATTTTCGTCTGGATATTCTAAGTATTTTTAGAGTTTTTGCCCTTGACTTAGTAAAAATTTGCAATTTCAACTTGTGTCGCATGTAACTCAAAAAGTATTTGACCTAGAGTCATGAAACTTTACAGGAATGTTTATCAGCATGTGTAGTTGTGCACCTGGGTATTTTCGTCTGGATATTTTTAGTATTTTTAGAGTTATTGCCCTTGATTTAGTAAAATTTTGCAATTTTCAACTTGTGTCGCATGTAACTCAAAAAGTATTTGACCTAGAGTCATGAAACTTTACAGGAATGTTGATCAGCATGTGTAGTTATGCACCTGGGTATTTTCATTTGGATATTTTTAGTATTTTTAGAGTTATTGCCCTTGTCTTAGTAAAATTTTGCAATTTTCAACTTGTGTCGCATGTAACTCAAAAAGTATTTGACCTAGAGTCATGAAACTTTACAGGAATGTTGATCAGCATGTGTAGTTGTGCACCTGGGTATTTTGGTCTGGATATTTTTAGTATTTTCAGAGTTATTGCCCTTGACTTAGTAAAATTTTGCAATTTTGTAACTTGTGTCGCATGTAACTCAAAAAGTATTTGACCTAGAGTCATGAAACTTTACAGGAATGTTGATCAGCATGTGTAGTTGTGCACCTGGGTATTTTCGTCTGGATATTTTTAGTATTTTCAGAGTTATTGCCCTTGACTTAGTAAAATCTTGCAATTTTCAACATGTGTCACACCTAACTCAAAAAGTATTTGACGTAGAGTCATGTAACTTTACAGGAATATTTATCAGCATGTGCAGTTGTGCACCAGGTATTTTCGTCTGGATTTATTTAGTATTTTTAGAGTTATTGCCCTTCACGTAGAAAATTTTTGCAATTTTCAACTTGTGTCGCAAGTTTCTCAAAAAGGATTTGACATAGTCAATAAACCTTATAGGCAGGTTGCTCAGCATATTTTAGATTTGCACTTGGGGTTTGGCTTGTGGATTTATCCAGTATTTGTAGAGTTATTTCCCTTGACTTAGTAAAAAGATTGACAGAACAGTGGCGTGTGGGGGCATCCGTGTCCTATGGACACATTTCTAGTTTTTGGCTATTATTGGCTGTAACTTTGTTATTTTTGAATGGATTGTCTTCAAACTTGATCATAATAAACTTCAATGATAGCCCTTTAAAAGAACCAGACAGACCTTGACCTTCACTCATAAATGACCTTGACTTTGAATGTCAAATTATTGAAATTTTCATATTTTTGGCTATCATATTGGCTGTAACTTTGTTATTATACCCTTGAAACGAAGTTTTGGGGGGTATATAGGAGTCACTCGGTGGTTGGTCCGTTGGTTCGTCGGTCGGTCGGTCCAGCGGTCCGTTGCATTTTCCTTGTCCGGAGCATAACTTGAAGACTAATGATTGGAATTCAATACAACTTCATACAATGATCAAGCACATTGAGAGGAAGTACAGTGCACAAGAACCATAACTCTATCTTGACTAATTACAGAGTTATTGCCCTTTGTTACTTTTCCTTGTCCGGAGCATAACTTGAAAACCACTGGTTGGAATTCAAAACAACTTCATACAATGGTCAAGCAGAATAAGGGAAAGTGCAGTGCACAAGAACCATAACTCTATCTAAAGTAATTACAGAGTTATTGCCCTTTGTTACTTTTCCATTGCTTTTTTTTGTCTGGAGCATAACTTGAAGACTAATAGTTGGGATTCAATACAACTTCATACAATGATCAAGCACTTTAAGAGGTAGTGCAGTGCACAAGAACCATAACTCCATCTTGACTAATTACAGAGTTATTGCCCTTTGTTACTTTTCCTTGTCCGGAGCATAACTTGAAAAGTACTGGTTGGAATTCAAAATAACTTCATACAATGGTCAAGCACAATTAGAGGAAGTGCAGTGCACAAGAACCATAACTCTGTCTAGAGTAATTATAGAGTTATTGTCCTTTGTTACTTTTCCATTGCTTTTTAGCTCACCTGTCACAAAGTGACAGGGTGAGCTTTTGTGATCGCTTTTCATCCGTCGTCCGTCCGACCGTCGCCCGTCCGTAAACTTTTACTTTAAATGACATCTCCTCATAAACCACTAAGCCAATTTCATCCAAACTTCACAGGAATGTTCCTTTGCAGGTCTCCTTTAAAAATTGTTCAAAGAATTTAATTCCATGCAGAACTCTGGTTGCCATGGCAACCAAAAGAAAAAACTTTAAATATCTTCTTTTAAAAAACCGAAAGAGCTAGAGCTTAGATATTTGGCATGAAACATCTTCTAGTGAGTGTCTACCAAGATTGTTCAAATAAAAGCCCTGGGGTCAAAATTGGCCCCGCCACAGGGGGTCATTGATTTTCTCTATATGTATATAGTAAAAACTTAAAAGTCTTCTTTTAAAGAACTCAAAGAGCTAGAGCTAAGATATTTAGCATGAAACATGTTCTAATGGGTGTCTACCAAGTTTGTTCAAATAAAAGCCCTGGGGTCAAAATTGGCCCCGCCCCAGGGGGTCATTGATTTTCCCTATATGCATATAGTAAAAACTTAAAAAATCTCCTTTTAAAGAACTCGAAGAGCTAGAGCTTAGATATTTGGCATGAAACATCTTCTAGTGAGTGTCTACCAAGATTGTTCAAATAAAAGCCCTGGGTCAAAATTGGCCCCGCCCCAGGGTGTCATTGATTTTCCTATATGCATATAGTAAAAACTTAAAAAATCTTTTTTTAAAGAACCCAAAGAGCTAGAGCTAAGATATTTAGCATGAAACATCTTCTTATGAGTGTCAACCACGTTTGTTCAATTAAAAGCCCTGTGGTCAAAATTGGCCTCGCCCCAGGGGGTCATTGATTTTCCCTGTATGCATATAGTAAAAATTTAAATATCTTCTTTTAAAGAACTCATCGAGCTAGAGCTAAGATATTTAGCATGAAACATGTTCTAATGGTTGTCTACCAAGTTTGTTCAAATAAAAGCCCTGGGGTCAAAACTGGCCCTGCCCCAGGGGGTCATTGATTTTCCCTATATGTATATAGTAAAAACTTAAAAAATCTTCTTTTAAAGAACTCAAAGAGCTAGAGCTAAGATATTTAGCATGAAACATGTTCTAATGGGTGTCTACCAAGTTTGTTCAAATAAAAGCCTTGGGGTCAAAATTGGCCCCGCCCCAGGGGGTCATTGATTTTCCCTATATGTACATGTATATAGTAAAAACTTAAAAAATCTTCTTTTAAAGAACTCAAAGAGCTAGAGCTAAGATATTTAGCATGAAACATGTTCTAATGGGTGTGTACCAAGTTTGTTCAAATAAGAGCCTTGGGGTCAAAATTGGCCCCGCCCCGGGGGTCATTGATTTTCCTTATATATGTGTATATCAAAAACTTAAAAAGTATTCTTTGAAAAAACCTTAATAGCTAGAGTTAAGATATTAAGCATGAAACATCTGCTAGTGAGTGTCTACAAAGTTTGTTCAAATAAAAGCCCTGGGGTCAAAATTGGCCCTGCCCGGGGGGTCATTGATTTTCCTCATATGTGTATAGGAAAAACTTAAAAAAGATCTTTGAAAAAACCCAAATAGCTAGAGTTTAGATATTAAGCATGAAACATGTTCTAGTAAGTGTCTACAAAGTTTGTTTCAAATAAAAGCCCTGGGGTCAAAACTGGCCCCGCCCCAGGGGTGTCATTGTTTTTAACTATATGTGTATTGTAAAAACTTAAAAATCTTCTTTAAAAAAACACAATGAGCTACGGCTAAGATGTTTAGCATGAAACATCTTCATATGGGTGTCTACCAAGTTTGTTCAAATAAAAGCCCTTGGTTAAA